TAGGAAGTGCTGAATAAAGAAGACTTTACAGTTATTTGCTGCTGATGAGTGTAATCCCTGTCATTGTGTTTGGGTTGTGCTTTTGAGCAGGGTATACAGAAGTTGCTTTTCTCTTTCTACAGATGCTTTTGACAGAGAGTACAAAATGGCCTATGACCGTCTCACAGCTAGTCAAGTGAAGAACACTCATAATTGTGATAGACCACCAAGTACTGGAGTGATGGAATGCAGGAAGATTTTTGGAGAACCATATCTTTAAATATACTTAGCTAAAGAGGTGATATCTATGACGTATACCTGTGTAAAATAACCACTTCAGTCACAAGGAGCATCTCAGTCTTCAGTGTTCAAGAACGTATGTACGAATGTACTGTGGCAGAAGGCCTTGGAATGATTAGGCCTACCTACAGATGTGGAAATGGACAGAGTGGAAAAAGGGCCAAATACTTCCTTGTCCCTTGTCCTTTCTGCAAATCGACACGTGGAAAGGAGGATTCTAAACAAAATCAGTTCTTTCACTTGGGACAGCCCATTACAGTTCCCTTCTTAAAAATTGACAGATGGACAGAAACAATGCACTGAAACTAATGTGAGCAAAGTAAATCCTTCAGAATCTATTGTTTACATAGAATATTCATGATGTTATGAAGAGCATACAAAGTTGTATTATACGTATTTTAAATTGTTTATAGTAAGTTGATATTTTTTTAATTTTTTTAAATTACTGGAGTGAATTTTAAATGGACTTGCTGCAGAAGCAATACAGTGCTTATTTTTTTTGCAGTACACTGCTATTTATAGTAACTTGTCCAGTTACTTTTTGAAGCGTGATTTGTTTTTAAAGCAGAATAGAACATGTTAACCTTCACCTAGGCAGTACTCTAAATACAGGATTTCTCTCATGCACACATGGAAAACGTGTTACCACAGCAATCAGGAGGAAGGTATGGTAAACCATGAAACTCTACTTATGAACACATGGATGTCTCTAAAACACTTCTGTAGAAACCTCTTCCTCGCCTGTTCCCTTCACTCCCTAGTAAAGAGAAAGCATACTGAAGAGTCCTACAGATTACATTATGGAATCAGGCCATCCCAGCTGTTGGCACTTGTTAATGTGACCTCATTGCAGATGTAATATAAAGCAAATAACAGCCTGCAAGAAGTTCTTCATAATCATGCAGTGTTTGCAGTCTTGGTGGATGTGTTTGAAACACACTAAATACAACACATATGTAATGCTAATCCAAAGCTTTTAACTCAAGTACATAAAGCAAACTTGCTACAGGGAATATTTAGGGAATGTAACTTATTGGGGCATATTGTGCATAGTTAAATGTACTTGAAATGTTTGGTCTCTTGTTTCACAGGCAAACCAACTGCTGGTTTTGTTGCTGTGAAGAAACATGCTGTCAGTCCTTGTGCTGGAGTCCTGGCTTTTGACTCGTGTTTTTCTTGTTCTAGATGTTTAAAAAAGTGTTCTGTGCTCTCAGTCAAATAGCAACTCCTCACCAGAAGGTAGGCTACAAAGAAAATACCAGAAATCTTGTATGGAGGTGGGAAAACAGACTTTGAGTTGTATAAAACACCCTAAACAAATTAAACCATGCTTTAACAAATAGCTTTATTTTAAGTGATCTCAATGCTTTTCCAATCCTAATCTCTTTTAGTTGTTGCTGTTACAGTATTTCTAAGTACTCAGCTGTTACATTAGCTTTTGTATTTCAGTCTGCCTAGCAGCAGGTGTTTTTAAAGATCTCTTTAGTTTGCAAGTGTAATAGTCCAGCGATATTTAGTTAGGCAGAAAGGAGAGAAACTTTAAAGCTCACATTTACTTTATTAAATGAAACAGCCTGTCAGAGGCTTAAATGAGAAGTAATGCTGCTATGAAGCCCTACGTAACCTCCTCCCAGACCTCTGTAAAGTAGTAAGAGGATGCTGCCCTAAGGAGAAAGGATTTAGAACTGGCAGAGCTGCAGGTATGTGCTGATGACGATTACAAGATAGAGTCTTGTTGGATACAGCTTTCATGGGGTAATACCTCTTCTCTAATTTGCTGCTAATGACGTAGCTGACCTTTATGAAATACCCCCTGCTCTGAGGTGGAGCTAGCAATGCTACACTTACCAACATTTTTCACATTTAATTTATTTTAACAATTTGTGATGCTCCTTTTTGTACTGCCACGCTTGTGAAGTGTTCCTGGTGCATGAACTATAGCTATTTGTTTTCACCCAGGTACATGGTAATAGTGTATCAGTGTAGGGTGGATACGTACATCCCCCCTTCATTCTTCTGAACTATTATGGAAAACACCAGGTTATTTTTTAACATATTCATTGTAGGTACCTGTCAGTGTGCATGTATGCTCTGCTCTGTACCATAGGTACACTGTATTTACCAAGTAAAAGTTGCATACAGTAGTTGCTGTGTATATAAACTCATTCATGTTTGTGCTGTGTTGTAGGGTAGTGCTCCAAGCTCTTTGCAGTTCTGCTCCCCATGTCATTTATCACTTGGGGCAGCCGCTGTTTTATAGGACCTTCAAGCCATGAAGGAGGGCGAGTGCTTTTTCCAGAGCTGCCGTGGTGTGTTAGAGGTACTGAGCTATGAAGTGAGCTTCACACCTCCTACTTGAGTCTGGCAGAAGCGATGGAGCCTGGTCTCTAACCACCCCTCACTTACTAGGGCATAACACTGCAACTGTGTGTGCTAGCACAGGAATAGATGCAACACTTGTAATACGTGGCCCACTTTCTCCATTCTAGTCCCAGCTTCGTTGTAAGTACTTCCAACTGCCTTCAGACTTGTAAAGCAAACAAGTTTGTCACTTCATTCAAATATCAAGTCCTGCCAGTATTATCAGAAGAGTATATATTGTACCCTGAGAAGGATTCTATATGCATCCTTCAGATAAACAATCTTACCGTGTCTTTGCATCCTCAGTAGCACTCCTGAAACACGATATGTTTATTTGGGTGTGCTTTTAAATTACTATATGACATAGTAATTCATCAAGTGACATCGCTGTACTTAATGAATTGTTTTATGAAGTCTGTGGCAAGTCAGTCCACTGTAGAAATACTATAATGAAATATAGTTGGAATAGTGGTTAAGTGGGAAATTTCCTCATTTGAGTCATAATGTTCAAAATGTAGGTCCTGAGGTGGATGATTTTTAAGCATCAGAGAATTCAATGTAGAAACAGTTTTCAACTCTCACTGTCCTTTATTAGAGAATCAATTTGACTATATTTTCCAATATCACAAAGATGGATAAATAAAATATTTGAGACATATTTTCAATTTAAAATTTTGTATGAACTGAATTTTCTCCTTTTGTGTACTAAATAATGCTTATGTCAAAACCAACCTGAAACAAAGGTGTTACATTTGCAGTGCAATATATATTTTGCTTTACTTACGGTTCCACTGGAATAATTATTGGAGATAAAATGCTGAAATGTGAATAGAAGTTGTGCTGTTTCTCTGACACTGCTAAACTGTTTCCCATTTTGAGAAGGTTTGCTGTTGGTACAGTTACAACCTGATGAATTGAGATTCTGCTGGTGAATCAAGTGATCTGTACCCCAAGAAAGAGAAAATTCCTGCATGTAAAATCTTTGTATAACCAATGGGAGATGCAGATAGTAATGAGAGGGGTATCTCTGGATAATATCTCACTGGGATTTAAAAATGGTACTTTGTTAGTCTGCAAGCAGCACTTTTTAAATGAATGGTTGTAGATTTGTAAATATGTAATGTTTAAATTTTATTTACCAAAACCCACTATGTTGGATGTTTGCTTTGGTTTGTAGTTCCTTTAAAATATGCAAAGTCAGTGTTCACAATGTCCAAGGGTTGTTTTTTTTTTCCCTGTCTCATCCAAAAAAGTTTTACAGTGAGTCAATAAAAAGCTGAAAATCTTTCTGGTTATTTTCATTAACATTTTATTAGATGGATTAAAACAACAGAAATCTCTGCAACTCTTAACTACATTGTTTGCTCACATGAGGCATTGTTAACAATAAACCCATGAGGTTTGTTGGTGGTTGATGTCAGTGGCATTTTTTCATAGTGATTATGTAGAAGACAGTGCTAACAACAAGAATTAGCTCTGGACACAGTAATCTGTGTATTTCAGAGATTAGTGTCAGGATGACAACAAAATTCAAGCAGATCAGCTTCTGGTTGTAGTATTTCTGATGCCTGGATTTAGTTTTTGCTAGTGGTAATGTTCTAACCCCAGATCCGCTTAATCTTGTTACAGGAAGATGTAAATCCCAATGACATCACACCTGTACTGGTGGCACTTAGAGTGACTTTTAGGGATTATATTGCAAGATCAGGTACAGATTTAACAGGAGCCTTGTGGACAGCTTTCAGGATTGCTCTGCAGCTCTCACCCTGTGTTCTTCTGCATGCGGAAATAACTTGCTGCTTTGCTTTCTCCTTGAAAACCTTTGTATTGCATTTCCCACAGTCTGAAGAAGGCCAGGAAAAAGCATTTCCTCTAAAGTGCATCATGATCTGCATACACTTTCCTGGAGGTATGTGTAGAGTACCAGCTGTGGATGCTCTATAGTGACATTCACTGAAAGGATGAAAGCTACCTCTGAGTAGGGCAATCATAGCAAACTAGTTGCAGCACAGACCTTGGGGACGGGAATGCTTTTGTACTGAGCAAACATTCTGTGCTGAAAATTGGCTCCATTATCTTAAGGGGATCGCCCTTCATGTATCTATACCATGCCAGCCTTTCCATGCTAGCCTAAATTTGTATGTTGTTTGATATTGTTTACTCCATTACCTGACCTTTTCTGATCCTAAGGAAAAATAGCAGAGGCTGACAGACCACTTGAGGTTTTGGGGTGCTTTTAGTATATTAAAGATGCTTTATTTTCAGTAAGTTTGTTATAATTATGGTTGCTTTTTTTATTAGAACAATTGCTACCTTAAACCCATTTTGATGTATGCTTACAGACATTCTGCAGCATCCAAATGTCACACAGATACTGGGCAGGATATTATCTTGTCTTCTAACATCACACTGATGATCAAAAACACAAAGTAAAGAGCAAACATGGTGAGCCCCAGCAGTTTGTTCATTTTCCATTTACATGCAGCAATTGAGATAATCACAAAGAGGAGCATGAGAAAAAGGAGAACAATTGCACAAAACAAACCATTGCTACTGACTGCAACTGGATCGAGTTCATTGAAGACAGAGTAAAGGAACCAAGGAACTGGCAAACTGCAAGTAAAGGAAAAGTAATTGAAATAAATGTTTTAAGGCAGTTCATTTTCTGCACCATAACAAAGCAATTTTTCCAAACTGTTAGAGGGGAAAAAATGCATGATTGTATTCAGTGAACTCAGCATAAATCTAAAACTGATGCTGTTCATGTCAAAAACTGCATTTGAGTAATACTTGAGCCATCATAATGCAATCCAGGAATGGAAAAGGGGTTTTAAAATAACACCTATGAATTGAGTGTCTCAGCACGCCATAATAAGGATGTCCTGATGCTTTATTGATAGAAAGTACAGGTGCAGATACTGAGCTTTGATTGCACAGGATCTCTGAGTGACTAAATAGGGATCCTGTCTGTAAATCTTTGGTGTTAGACAAAGACTTGTTGTTCTTTCAAGACAAAAACTCAATTAATTTGTGTAGATTTAGAATTAGGAGAAGATGATGGACTAAGGTATAAAAATCCGTCTTTCCTAGTTGGGTTAGGTTTCTAAACAAACCATTAACTTATTGCTCAGCTGCCCTACATTTAATTACAGCTAAAGTAAAGTTAAGAGCATGTTTGGACTAAAAGCATCCAGCTGTCTATTTCAGAAGAAATAGGGTATCTTTCAACATTGAATTAATACTCACCCAACAGTGATATCGAAGATATTGCTGCCTACAGAACTGGAGACAGCCATGTCACCTAAGCCTTTCCGAGCAACGATGACACTGGTGATAAGGTCAGGGATGGACGTTCCTGCTGCAAGTATGGTTAACCCCATAATTTCCTCTGATATCCCAATTGTTTCACCAACCTAATAAACAGAGTCGGGTAAGGCTGTTTGCTTTGTAACATGGAATTTAATTGCTCTGTCCATTCTTTTGAGGCTTTATGCTGAATTTGAGCTAAAATATTCTGAATCCCCTTAAACATGGTCACATTCTTCTGCTTTGTGGATAAAAAGTTAGATTTCACAATGTATGTTGATCTTGGGTTAGCTCTAAAAGCTGGACCACTGGGCCTGTGATCAGTGTTGCCAAGACTAAGAAAGGTCAAGTCAGCTACAGCACAACTTTTCTGTCCCAAGTTCACCTCTTTGGGTGTCTTCCAACTTTCCCTCTCCCAAGTTTAACAGCAGCTCTGTATGATCCAAGAGCTTTGGGAAATGTCAGTCTTTGGATTTATGGCATGATCAACTGTGCTGTGAATGTGCAATACATCACTAAATACAAATTGTGGGTCTGATTCGACAAGATGCAAGTCTTATTTCCCAGAATACCAGGTGACCATTAAGGCACTGGGAGTTAACATTTAGCAGCTTTCAGAATCAGAACCTGTATATTCCTGGAATTTTTATTAGGTGAGGGGTAATTATGTTCAGCACAGAAGCATTCATCAATGAAAAGGCAGTATTAAAATAAATCTTGATAGCACTTTTCCTTTCACTGATGCACAAATTCCCTTGGAAGCTCTTGAAATGGAAAGCTCTTTGTCAGATTGAAAAGAATGAATTTGAGAATTCCCTTTTGGGTTCTAAACAAATCCTTTTGGGTTCTAAACAAACCCAAGTTTCTACCGTGGTGATGGATGAGTGCAGCTGTAATTCATCAGATAAAATGCCACAGTGATGCTGTTCCTTCTTTTTCCATCCATCTACTTGTTCTGAAATAGTCTTGTTTGCAGAGAGAAAATAGAGCCCTCACCTGGTGAGCCCACCACACCATGAGGTAAGAGAATACAGCAATCCAGAGGATGGATCCAAAAAATGTGATGACAAAGAATTTTTTGGAGTCCTGTTAAAATCAAGTTTGAAAAGAAAAACATGAAAAAGTTTCAGGAAAATTTAACAACCCCCAGTGAAAATATTCACCTGAAACCCTTCACTGTGATCAGTTGCTTTAATGTGGACCCTGGTCTCTAATTGTATTTGGATTTGTCAGCTTCATTAGGTGACTGGTAGCTGCTGGTGTTGTGGCTGTGATATGCTGCAGCCAGGGCTCCTGTCCCACTCCCAGCAGCATTAACAGCACTTCAAGTATGCAAGGACTCTAAACGTGGCAAAACAGAACTGGGGACTCTTCTCAAGAGGAAATCTACAGCTCAGTTAATGAATGCAGTAGCAGAAGGAAGATAGATGCTTACTGGGTTTCTAACGTCAGGCAGAGTGCTCCAGAGAGGAAAGACAATGGGAAACAGGAAAAGGTAAATGGCTTGTTTTTTCCTAGTTGCTGGCCATTCAAGAGATAACGGCTCGTCGTTTTCTTCATCATCTGAGCTGTCATCACTGTCTTCATCACTGTCAGAGCTGCTGTCTTCTGAGGTGTCACTGTCTGAGGAGGGCTGTAGATCAGGGGGGAGGAAAAGAGCTAGTGTTTTCACACTCACAAGGAGCTGCACAGCATTTATTCACCATGGTCTTGCCTTGGTAGAGGTCATGTTTGTAGCATGGCTGAGGGCAGTCACAACCCACATCTTGCTGTTGTGGACAAAATCCAGGCATAGCCCATCTCAGTGCCTGTGTATTATGTTAACTAGTTCTCATCTGTTAACTAGTACCAACTTTTACATGGGGTTTTGACTCAAATGAAACATTGACTGTCTCCTTGAGAAACCTTTCCCCATCAGAACAGGTGAATTACGTCTATTGAAAGGAGGGATTTGGGAAATGAAACAGAAATGTGTACGGGTGAACATAGGACAGGCAGCTACTTGTAACTTCCCATATGCTGCAGTACTCCTGTAACCTCAGAAAAGTCATTTGAGGAGAAGATACTAGACAGTTTCAGTCAGTGTCATGTTTTGAACCTCACTTGTGTCTGGAAGATGAAATGTTTCAGCTAGCACATTAATATCTCATTGCTACATACAGATTATTTTTAGTTGTCCGTTATGGGAAACGAGTTGGGCCCTATCCCAAAAGCCTTAGAGAGGAAGAAGGAAAGGACATGTGACATTTGGTCTCAACTGAACTCTTACTGCCTGTAATACTTAGTTCAATACCTGGGCATCTTGTGGTGCATCTGCCTTCTGTTTGTCTTTGCCGGCTTCAGAGTCGCTGGCAGGAGTTACCTGGACTTTGCTTGGTGCTGCCTTTTCCTCTTCTGCTAAAAGTAATAAGAAAGAATACTGCTTTCAGTCGACTTAAGTCTCCTGTGTCACTGGGCCATTTTATATTAAACCCAATGTGATTGCTTAGGTTTGCTGTTTGTCCTCTCTGTCTACTGTGGATTACTAAAAGCTGGGCAGAATCTGGCCCACCTGTTGTAGAATGATACCTTGATGCTTCTATAACCTATCTGAAACTGCTGTAAGAGGTACATTCATAACACCAGGGATATGCTCATTATCTGATCTACAACTGGTGTTTGTTTCATTCTGGATCCTGGAGATCTTATTAAAGCCATCCTTAAAAGCCAGAGAGGATATAAAGCTTTGCTTCTCCTTTATGTTCTAGTAGAGCATGGTGTTCTCCAGGGAGCTGATATTCTTCAAGGCTTCTGAGAAATGACTCCCATGTGCTGCCAGACTTTAATCCCTAATCATTTGGTAGGTATTTGAACACAAATAGGAAAGTGCTGACACATACAAGGAAATAACTGCAATGTCCTCTGTGCTGTTCCTGTGTAACCCATATAGCCAAGAGGATCACAGAAATAAGTAAGCAAATAGCTGCTTTTCAGACTGGTGACCTGTCACAAGTGGGGTCCCTCAGAGATTGATATTGGGCCCAATGTTGCTCAATGTCTTCATAAATGATCTGGCTGATTGGATCAAGTGTGCCCTAATGAAGTTTGCTGATGGCACTAAGTGGATGCTTCAGAAGGGAGAGGCACTGCAGGATCATCTGGACAAGCTGGAAGAGTGGGCTAAAAAGAACCTTATGAAGTTCAACAAGAACAAGTGTAAGGTTTTGCACCTGGGAAAACACAATCCAGGAGTGCAGCACAGGTTAGGGAGAAGCTCTGTGGAAAGGGACGTGGCAGTCCTGGTGGCACAAGCTTCATAGGAGTCAACAGTGTGCTGCTGTGGCAAAGAAAGCCAACAGGCTGCTAGGGAACATGAACAAGGGCATCAACAGCAGAGAGAAAGATGTCATTGTCCCACTCTACTTGGTGCTTGTCAGGCCACACCTGGAATTCTGGGTTCAGTTTTGGTCCCTGCTATACAAAAAAGATGTGGACAGGCTGGAGAGAGAGCCTGGCTTTTCTCTTTGGAGGAATCTTTCATGTCTTCTTGAAGTGTGCCAAACTTCCAAGGTAAAATGAAGGTACTTTGTTTAACAAACACCTCATTTGCAGGGTCTACCAAAGATCAGTAGCACCCAGCTTCTGCCTGTAATGGCCTGATTTCCCCTCTTCTACCCTTCTGGTGGCAATTTACACTATATCCTTGTAGCACTTTGTGTTTGGATGCTGTCTCACTAACCACTCCTAGACTCCCGGGGGGATGGCTTTTATTGCCCACTGTTAGCGCACATAGATTGATTTCTGCTGCATTATTATAGCAGCCATCTGTGATCTGTAATAACAGAAGATATGTGTTAAACCATCGTGTTTCTGTGCCAGCCCTTGGGTAATGAGTGCTGGGAAAGGTGAGGGATTGCAGCACAAAACAAGGCAAACAGCACCAGCTCTTCATGCACTCACCTTCTGGTTTTGATCCTTCTTCTGCTTTGGCCTTGGCTATGTTGCTCAGGATGTCAACCCTGTCTTTAAATTTTGCTGTGGGTGAGAAGGATGCATTCATCAGCAGTTGCCAGCTATCCAAGCCCCCTTTACCTGCCTCCCCCAGCACACACATGCTCTCCCCCCTTTCCTCTTGCGTGGATTGCCGTCAGCACTGACTTGTGAGTTGTTCTGGCTGTGGCCCTAGGCTTTGGCTGCTGCTAGTTGATCAAGCTGTTATATTTAAATGCTTAGTACTATGGCAGTTATGCAAGCAATTTCACATGTAACCAATAGTTTCTAATTTAAAAGAAAACCTAGAGGGAAGAGAAGTCCTTTCCAGGGGATAGCTGTACTTCATAAGAAGCAAATGTAGGAAGAACAGAGGAGTTTCAATGCAGTATCTCTTTGCTCCTAAAGGACTGTTGATTTCTTTTCAGGCTAGATTATATACAAGCTGAAGATGACACCTTCCTTCTGCCACGTGGCTGCTGAAGAGGCTTTACTGTGCTCTTGCAGCCTGGTGACCTGATGGTAAGGAAAGATTAAAAACCTTTCATAGTTCCAGTTATGTGGAAAATGGTTTCTCTAAGGAAGCACGAACATCTCCTCTGCTGGAGTTGTTCTAAATCCTGGTGTCCAGGTTCAACACTGCCCAGGCTACCCAAGAGATCATCTTCACCGGTGCAGTGTCCAGTACTGTGTTTTTGGGACTACTGAGGACTTGTCCCACTGTAAACCATGCTCTGCTCAGCTGAGCTGCTTTGTTATTGTGTGTCTCCATAGCTAGGTGTTGTGCTCAAATACCATAACTCCTACTCCTGTTGAAACTGAGCAAGTTGTTGGCTCAAGGAAAAGCTTTATTTTGCTCTAATCTATATCCTCTGAGCTGCATACTGAGTCCAGCAACTAAGCAGAGGGTTACAGGTTTTGCACATAGCAGCCACAAGGAACTGATTTTGCCTTGCTTGGGTTGGGCTGTAAATTAACTTCCTTTGAAAGTTTTATCACACTGGTTTAATCTACTGTACTGCTGCCCATGCTGTGGATTCCCCAGCATTGGATGCTTTTAAGATTCAGCTGGACAGAGTGCTGGGACATTAGTCTAGGTCATGCTTTGCCTAGAATGGACCAGATGCTCCTTGACATCTCTTCCAAACTGAGATTCTACAAGCTCTTCTTTTGAAAGGCTGGTTGTGACTAAAGAGCCTGGACTCCTCCATGCTCCTTGCCAGTACTGAAACCTACCAGAGGGGATGTAAAGTACTTGCTTCGTTCTCCCTCTACTGATGCTAAGCGCAAGCGCACCCATCAGTGCAGGGCAATGGAGAGGTGACCTTTTGCTCCCAGTCTCCTCTAACCACTGGGCAATGCATCTTTCTGTTCAGCTTTTCCCAGAAGCTGTTACAAAAGCTTCTGTCAGCAGGGTCAGGGCGGTCAGGCTCAGGCTGAAAGAGATTAAGCAGATTCAAGCTCCTGGCTTGCTGCCCTCACCTAGGCTGCAGGCTGTGAGCACGGACCCAAGAAGAGCCTCTGAGCATCTCTCTGTCAGGATAAACAGATTAGGTCCAGGCCAGTGTTCAGTTCTCATGAGATCAGCCTGACTTAAAAAGGTGTTAATTCTTCTGACACACAACTCATACAGGATGGGCTGAGACTGGAGGAGCTGCTGGCTATAAGCTGGCCAGATCTGCAGGTCAGCACTGGGAGGAAGGAGATCTGTCAACTGAGTCCTTGCTAGTGCTGGGGATTAGCTGGGCAGGGCAGCTGGGACTCTGCAGCCCCATGGGCTCAGCCCTCACCCAGGGGTGCAGTCCCCAGGGCATTCACTGCTGGTGAGCCCATCAGGCAGGTGTCTGTGTCCAGGGGGCTTGAGATGCTCTTCAGGAAGATTCATATCCTATGGGTTGACAGCATCTAGCCTGGACTGAAGGTGGAAGCTGAGCTTTTACCTGGAGTATGGCTCTTATGTTTATTTAATTCTTTGGCTCTAATATTGAATCTTACAGCACTAACTTACAACATGGACAGCAGGAAGGATTTTTTTTCCTTTAAAATTTCGCATGAACCTGGAGGATTGGGAGATTCTGCTGTTTAAAAGTATATATATATATATATAATCCCATTATTCCTTTTTCCCATTTGTATCATGAGTCTCTTAAAGCAGGTAATTGAATGCTAATGAAGCAAGGAGAAACTGTAGCTGCCCTCAATTCCTAGCGCTATGCTAGCCTGCACCACTGCTCTCTTCTGGTCTGCTTTCCAGAATCATAGAATCATGGAATCATCATTAGCTTGTGAACTGGGGTGTGCTGAGGCTGGACAGCTCTGACATCCCTGCTGCTGGAGCCTTCTTCTTCCTTCAAAAGTAAAATAAGGCTTCTGTCTTCTCTCTATGATTAGTTTAAAGAGTAACCCAAGAGTAACACTGGAGGATCAGAAATGAGAGGGCTCCTCAGTCTGTCCAAAATCCTTGCTCCCTTCAATTCCCCAGCAGTTCCCTCTGGTGTCTAACTGAAGATCTTGAGAAGAGCTCATGCTCTGCTTCTACACCCTTCCAGAGAAAGTGCAGAAAAGCCCACAGTTATCAGAAACTTCTCATTTGAAAATAAAAGCTTCTCAAAAATATAATTCAGGATGCAGTGTAAATGTTAGAAACGTTAAAGTAAAACCTCATCCCCTGCAGAGAGAGGCTGAAATGTAATGAGCCCTTCCTAATCCAAAAAGCAAACACTCTGATCTTAGTCCATTCTTCAGATGAGAAAATTTGCTTCCCCCAAGGGGTGTTGCATTAGGAACAAACAAAGTTTGTATTTCAGACTCCTGTATTTCTAAACCCTGCCTCTGCAGGCTGGTTGTGTAGGCTGAGGCCTGGCTGGTTTTCCACATTTTGGACTCTTGCTGCCCTGAAATGGTTCCTCTGCTGCCCAAATAAAGTGCAACTGCAGCAGAGAGAAGGAAACCCTACAGAGAACCTAATTTCAGTAAGATAAGTTAGGAACTGCTGAGCAATAATTGGCAACCTTTTCCTTTGTAGAGTGTTCTTTGCCACAGCCTCTAAGTGCTGATGCTATGGGCACTGCCAAGAAGGAACAAGGACCCTTGGGGAAAGATCAATTGATTTGGGATCATCTTTTATGTTGCAACCTAATTACAGAAATGTATCTGGTACATACAGTGCCGCACAAGCTGCAAAGAGGAGGACTTTGCTGGTGCTCAGTGGAAGGAGGCACCCAGCTGCACTGAGGGCACTGAATGACTGCAGTGCTTTTAACACAAAGGCTGAGCTTGCAGCCCTGATATGCCTTAGTGGGTTCAAATCCTTTTCAGAGTCATCCTGGGAAAATCACATCATTTTTATGGCCAAGATCCTCAAGGAATTTGGGTTTCTCAACCTATTCATAAATTATTCCTTTTGTCTAGATTCCCTTTTCTTTAGGTACGAATTTATCAGGGTAAGGTAAGGTCTTCTACGAGATACACAGGACTCTGGCTCCTTGATTTTGAGTGCTGTGCTGTTGTAGTATCAGTAACTTCCTTTATCATTACCTTTTCTAAGGAGCTGTCTCTGTTCTAGCAGTGTTGCGTGGAACAGGCATGTACCTGGGGCAGAGGTTTTGCCCTTATCTCAGTAGTATTATTACAGTAATGGGTGTAAAAAATAACATTTTTGGAGAGACTGTAGCCCATCTTTGCATCCTGTTGTATTAGACTTGCTTAAGTACATATGGTCACACTCCCATCTAGCGGCTGCTGCATGCGGAGACTAACTCAAGGTCTGCCTGGCTGGAATGAGAGGGCAAGTTGTCTTTTAGATCCAAACTTCCCCTCCAGCCCCTTTTATCCATTATTCATAAGTCGTAGTGCTAACAGCCTCTGCAGCAAGGCCAGTGGCTTACAACTGCCTTGCAGCCCCCAGCAGATGCAAGGGCAGTAGAGCAAACCCTGATGATTCTGGGTCTTGTTAGGCTACTGTTAGTAATGTGATGGATGCCTCCACTAAAATCTGTCAAAGCAGACACTTATCTGTCTCTCTGTCCTTATCAAGCCTCCTTTGTTCCTCCATCAGTCTGTGCAGCTGGGATTTTGATCTGAAGAGTCCTTTTTGTAACCTCTGTGATAGAGGTGTTGATCTGCTTAGCTTCAATCTCTCTTTGAATGGACAAGGGATAATCTCTTTAGAACAAGTAGGGCAGTGAAGGGGCAGGGCATGTACTGAGCTAGGGAAGAACAATCTAAAACACCAAGCTTCATCATTTGTTGGAAAATGAACTTCCCCACCGTGTTTGGATTAAAGGTGATACAACACAACACATCAAAAGGTTGTGTACAAAGACCCTGGGTCTGGCTGCAGATGTGGCTTCTCTGCTCCCTGGCCAGTTTAAAAGAAGGTATCTTAGTCCTGAGCTGATCGGCCCTTGGCCCATTGCCTGCAAAGTGTTGTGGGTACAGTTTACCATGGGAGTGATGATACCAGAGTGTTGCAGGTGGGCTTTTAGAGGTGTTCAGTGTTGGTCTAAATCACCTATGGACTGGCTTAACCATCATAATTGGAACTCACTGTGTGTCTTAGATCTCAGCTGGGATTTTAACCACTGTCCAAATGATAATTTGAGGGTTTTAACGTCTATTTCCTCTTGTGCAGGTTTACGCCTTGTGAGGGACTTTTTGCACAGCAGGGGATGTGTGTAGGTCATGAGCGCTCCCTGTGTTCATTTTCCTGTTGCAAATGAGACTGATATGGCTGAGCAGCTCTTTCTCACAAATGCAGTCAGCGTTGAATGCTGCTGCTTCAAGGTGAGGGCTGAGCTAAGAAGAGGAAGGAAGATGTGACATGCTATGAGATGGAGGAAGCTGTAACTTGAGTTTGCCCCTGCTGTCAGAGAGACAGCAGAAGATGAAGGATTGCAGTGACTGCCACTGCTTGCAGGGACCACAGCAACAACTGCTTCACATGCCCTCACCCCCCTTCAAGCAGCAGCTGCCACCACAGCAGTAATCAGTTTTGCACAGGTAAATCAGGTATGGCAGGGCCAAAATGTGAGCAGCTTGTCCTTGCTAGCCATGCGATCAGAAGGGGTATGTCCCACTGCTGAAGAGCTCACCCTATAACACTGTCACGCTCAGAGCTGCATTTTGGGAGGGGTTGCTGATGCCCAACCCCCTGACATACAAAGGGTGTATTCCCAGTTAAGCTGCTCTGCACTCAGGGCTGCAAACCCAAGTCCCTCAGATGTGGAGCGTTCACTCACCGTCTGTCAGGGGGTCCAGGGTGTGGATCATGAGTTGGAAGATGGTGCTGCGCATTTGAGTATTGTGTAGGGAGGCTGAGCTGCTGCCTCGCTGTAAGGCTGATCCAGGCTATGGAAAGGTACAATGCAGCAGGTCAATAGCAGTTTCTTCCTCAGAACATTTCCACTGTTGGTTTGCTTCTGCTCTGGGGGTGCATTTATATGGAGGCTGATCTCCACAACCCAAGGAACAACCTCTACATTTAAGTTCACACGATGGCTGTCAATACTAGCCATTCACAGCAAGAGACATGAGATAGCAGGTCAGGCTGTCCTTGGAGAAAGGCTCTACAGGGGACTCTGACTCTCTCTCAGTCTTTTGTCACAAGCAATAGAACAAGAGGAAATGGCCTCAAGTTGTGCCATGGAAGGTTTAGATTGGATTATGGGGAAAACATTCATTCCCAAAAGGGTTGTCAAGCATTGGCACAGGCTGCCCAGTGCAGTGCTGGAGTCACCATCCCTGGAGGAATTTAAAAGACATGTAGAACTGGCACTTAGGGACATGGTTTAGTGGGGGACTTGATCTTAAAGGTCTTTTCCAACCTAAACAGTTCTATGAGTCTATGAAATGCAATGGGCCCACACAGACTCAATACAACGTTATTATAAATTACAACCAAAGCATGCAATGCTTTCAGTCATAAGTTGTCATTAACTGTAGATTTATATACTGCTACAAGATAATGCCACAGTCATGTCAGGTGTCCTTGAAAGCTATGGTGCTCTGTTCTTACACCAGAGTCCTAATGAGCTTTTAACTGAACATTAATTAGTACAGGTATGTTAAGTGCACAGAAGAATAAGAAACATCCATATGAGGAAGCTGGTATGTTACATACTTCTGCAGCCACTACATCAGGTCTCTCCATGCAATGGCTGGCCAGCCGTAAGGAAAACAAAGAGTCAGCAAGTTAACCAGCAGCAGAGGAATGAGCTCATCAGTGTTTGCTGTGGGAAAGGACAGACCCTACCAACTTCTGCTCTGGGAGCCCAGGTGGAAAATTGGCCATGAAACCAGGTAGGAATTGCTCTGAATTTCTCTCTTCTTGCTTAAAGCACTGAATGAACAGCACTCATTTGACAATAGCTACCCAAATCCACTTGGAAAGCCTGACTGTCTCTTAATTTTTATAAAAATACACAACTCATCCAGGTGTCCTTTTAAATAAGCTGTGAATATTGTGCCAGGTATGCCTGGCTCTTTGCACAAAGCAGGCTTTGGTCCTGATTTCTTGACATAGAAGTTGACACCTTTATTCTGAGCCTCCCCCCAAGTTAGGCTGTGAATACAATGACTTCGGATCCCTGCAAAGCTGCTTAGAACCTACCTTCAGCCTCCTCTCATCTGCTGGCTTCTTTGCTCCATCATCTGCAACTGCCCCAGTGCTTTTCTGTATGCAAGCAAGAAGAAAAGCATTTGAACACCACTACTGCTTCACCTGCTTTTTGAGGATCTAAGAACAGTCCTTCAGGCTACTGTCTGTGAGGAAGTGGGACAGCTAATACACATGACAAAAGCTGCAGATGGGGTAACAAGTGATTCCATCAGCATCCCAGCAACACACCTCACTTGAGAAAGGGCAAAGAGAATCTCCTCCAGCATCTCTCATCTGCAAGAGGATTGGACAATGCCTCTTAGCAGAAGCATTTTTCCCCCTGTTTAACACAGAATTATCCAGTCTTGTTCCCAGGCTATGTTCTGCAAGTGTTTTTTTGGAAACTCCTTTACGACAACCCAGTAAGCAAAATCCCAAGTCTTTGACAGTAGATAGGAAACCACTATCTTTAGTAAATGCAATGGTAGAACTCCCTTTTAGTTCCATTCTCTAATTTCTTAGACTCTCTACTATCTAGATTGCATTTCCCTCATTTTATAACCGTAATTATTGACCAGTACCTGTATTCTGAGGTTTTGTTTGAATATGCACTTTGTGAAGGAGATGCAGTTTCTCTGTGGTTTACACTAGAATGAATTATTTCCAACTTGCCCTCTGAACAATAAGGACACCAACCTTCCGTATATGCTCTACTGTTGCTGCCTGCACAGCATTCAGCTTCTTGCTCAGCTCCTGCTTCACCCATTGTTCCAGGTACACATTGTATTTCATAGTGAATACATATGTGGCATAGGCAGCCAGTAAAAGGAGGCTTTCCCACCAGTCAATGACACTGTCTAGGAAAAACAGGATGAGCATCATTAAGTCTACAATGTAGAATGAGATGTCTCTAAATAAGGGCCACCATGTCAGGTGGAGTATCTCCCTTGAGAAGAGGGCACAGGTGCCAATGACAAAGAGGATATTAAACACCGCTGAGCCTACAATGGTACCGATGCCAACGTTGCTGTGTGAGATGAAGACACCTATGAGGGAGGTGAAGAGTTCTGGTGCTGATCCACCTGCTGCCATGAAGGTGGCTCCAGCCACATCTTCAGAGATCTGCAACTTCTCTGTGATCACTCCCAAAGCAGGGACAAAATACTCATCACACACAATGGCCAAGGCCACAAATACATACATCATGCCAAAGATGTGAAGTACAACCCACCCTTGCCTGCGTTCTTCCACGCTGAACAGGTCCTGGGGATATTCTCCTTTGGACTCGTATGGTGGCTGTTCGTCTGGGTAGTTTCCACTGCCATTGCCTTGCTGTGGTGGTGTACCCACTGATGTAGTGATGGGCACAACTGGCTCAGAATCCACATATACACAGTGCCTTATTTTGGGTGGTGCTGTGACACTGCCTGTTACAGCAGTCCTGTTGCTGGCAATGTCCCTAGAGGTCACTTTGACAGGGTCCATCAGTCGGGGTGCTAAGGGTGGTGCTGGAATAGCAGAGGACCTGAACTGGAACTGATAGAGGGAAAGGACCAACACTGTGGCAAGCAAGAAAATGATTCGGTTCCGTTGTAGCCGCCGCCTCCTTGGTAAATGCATTTCCTAAAGGTTCAAAAACCAGAGTAGTGTCCAGGAGCCACTAAAGACTTCTCTCAATCAGCAGTTTGCACTTATATCCACCATTGCTGTTTCTAGCTGATCTTAAGCATCAACAGTGAAACTGTGGCACAAGATGTGGAATCCTGCAAAAGAAAATCTGATGTAAAAAAGAGAAGTACTGCAACTTCCCCCCATATGAGTAACATTACTTCACTGAGTGCTTTTCTTTTGTCAGTAAAAAGTAATTGACTTAAATGAGGCAGGTCTAGATTCAGGTTTCAGTAGCTTTTTTATGACTGTAGGCTATGCTGATTTATAATCAAAGGTTTGGCTTAATAGAGAGGAGTTGATCAAGTCCAACCTGAGCTGAATTCTGATTCCATCCACCTCATGCCTACATCCAAGAGCTATTTTGTGGTTTTACTTCAGTTGTTATTCTGTACTATTAACAACTGGATCGATGTTCTGCAGGTGGAGAGGCTTCTGTCAAGGAACCTACTTTAAAGGGCTAGTAAAGATGATGCTTTGAAGACAAGATTATGCTGTTAAAACCTCCCACCTAACAGACCAGCTATTCACCTATGTACTCTCAACAGGAGGATGAAAACTGGTTGATACCCCAGCTATGCACTCCCACAGAATACCAGCCAAACAGTGGTGAGCTGTTTTCTTTTAGTTTGAGAAGAACATGAGCAAGATTTGGTTCTAGTAAAACTGAGGATACAGAGCATCCATTTGTTTCTATGACTACATCATGTCAAGCCTTTCTGTAGAAATCAGAGCTGGCAAAGTGGAAATGTAATCATACCTTTTATTAGGGGATAATTAGCATCTCTTGCATAATTATCTGAATAGCATTTAGAAAGGGAGAGAAATTATAAATGCCAGAGTGACAGAGTCTGCAGCTGTGGCAGTATGGAGACAGTGATTTGGGGCTGGAGAGAATGTACCCTTTAGCACCGTTTCAATATTATACCTCAGAATATCACTCTTTGTGGATTATTTTTTCCCCTGAGTGGGAATGTTATATTATTCTTACGCTGGATGTGAATCTCAGTCTTGTAAGCCATTCTCAGATAAGCTCTTCATGCAAGTTAGCACACACTTACCCTCTTGCATAACACCCAGTGAAGTAATCAGCCTAAATTTCTTGCAAGGCAGGCATTATTATCTTCTTTTATAGAGTTGGGAGGATCACTAAGGCAACAGTAATAGAGGGTCATGGGAGAACCTAGATAAATAGATGATACAAGCTTTGCTTTTCATATGTTAAAAGAACATAAACATGCATATGGCGGAACTGCATAATGTGTATAACAAATTGCATGGTATTAGAAAATTACCCTTCCTAACAAAGATGAAAGTAAAAAGAATTACAGAGAACAGAAGACGTATGCACAAACTCCTAAATAAACACTGGTTTTACTTCTCTCCAAAATGATCTGCTTAGAAGTCCTTTTGCAAGCAGAATCTTATCCAAAGCTGAGATCAATTGTAAGAGCTCTCCAGCCTTTCACAATACCTCTAGTCTTGTAAGTTTAGCAGTTCTGTTAGAGGTCAGCTCCTTACTCACTGGTTGGACTGTCTCAATCACAAGAGGTCTGGAGCGATCAAATGAACCTCCACAGCTTACCTCCCAAAGATGCTGTCCAAGAGGAAGAGGAGTACCAAGGGTTGAGTGTAGAGCTGAGAGTTTCTTTGACACGTAACAGCCAGATGGGAGATGCTGTTGAAGAGAGAGGCAGGTGAAAATGATCCCATTTTCATGAAGCCTCTGCTGATGCAGTCCTAATACAAAGGAGGGTCAGGTGTGAAGGACATCTTACTGGAGGAACAGCCAATCCAGTTTAATACCTGCAGTCCCTAAGAAGATTAAATAGTATTGCATAGATTTGGATCTATCTCTGAAGCCAATATCTCTGTCTACAGGTTATTCGCAATATGAGGACAGGTGATTATCTCCATTCCAAACCACCAGATGAAAGCACCAACTGTGAGACACGTATCGTTCTCATGGCTGCGACGGAAGAGAGCAGCAGGGGTAAATCACACTGCTCCTCTGCATGCAGCAGTGGTCCCTTAAACAAGACAACTTGCATGTAGCTTCATCTTCAGCCATGTCTATTTTGCAATGCCAGAGGGGGGTTTAAAACTCATTGTCTCCTGCAAAAACCCCTTAGCTCCTATACCCATGACCATGGAGGCAGAGGCACAGTGCAGCACCCTGTGCTGGCAGAGCACCCCGAGGATGGTGTCAGGAACCCTTTTGTACTGAGTGGAACACGTATGGTGCACTTCTGCACAGGAAGAAATAACATTCCTGGCCAAATACTTAATGGCTGTAAAAATCCAATCAGAAGATTTATCACAGAGGGGTTCGAAAATGATGATTTGATAATTTTAAAGCACTTGAATGAAGAGTTTTACTATGGAGTTTACTGAACCCCCCCCATCACTATACTCACACAGCACAGGGAGGAGCCCCATAAGCCAATGGGGATGCATTCATACACTCTGTGCACAGCAGTCCTTATATCGTGGTGGTACTTTTCCACCAATATTGGCATGTAACTGTTTTTCTGTCCCTAGTCAGTGCATTATTACAGGCTTTTCCTGCTTTTCCTGACTGTTTTTCGCATTTCCCCCCACCTCGAAGCCTTGTGTGGAGCCGCGGGCACAGCGCGGCCCGGCCCCTTCTCGCCTCGGCCGCGATGTTCCGGGGGGGACGCTTTCCGTGACGGACCCATGGCGGCGGGAGCGGGCTGAGCAGCACCATTTCCCTTCCGCCGCCCGCTCGCTCTCCGCTCACCCCTCGGAACACCCCGGCTTGTCCCCGGGGAAGGCGGCGGCGCTGAGGCGGAGAAGGGAGGAAGGGCTGGCTCCGTGCCGGGCGCTCCCCTCGGCCCTGGGGTGCCACTGCTGCTCGCGTTCCCCCATCGAGGCTCAGACCGCCGCTTCCAGGCCTGTACAGCCGGTTGGTTATGCTGCGTGTGGTTCCGGAGCGGATCTATTGACTTAATCTGAGCTAAATCCGCCTTTTGGTGGGCAAAAGGGTAATTGTTGCTTCCCCCAGCTCACCGAGTGAGAGCGTGAGATGCATCCCTCCATAACTGCAGCTTCAGGAGTCATGTGTGGCCTTTTCTTCCTCCTTCGTGCAGGGGCTCAGAGTTCTCCGTGTGGGTAGCAGAGAGGAGCAGCTCGTCATGCCGACCGTGGTGGTGATGGACGTGTCGCTCTCCATGACACGGCCGGTATCGGTGGAGGGCTCTGAGGAATACCAGCGGAAGCACCTGGCTGTCCATGGCCTCACCATGCTGTTCGAGCACATGGCAACCAACTACAAGCTGGAGTTCACGGCCTTGGTGGTGTTTTCATCCCTCTGGGAGCTGATGGTGCCCTTCACGAGAGATTACAACACGCTCCAGGTAAGGTGCCTGAAGCACACAAGCAGCAAGCTGTCAACTTGAAAACAAAACAAAACCCCATGTGTGTTGCCAGAGCAAGGTGAAATCGAGTAATTTTATGTTATCCTGCACACAACTTCTTGCATCGAAGTGGTTTTCCCTTATTTTAAGAATAGGTGAAATCAATGCATTTGAAACATTTTGCTACTTTTACTACTTTAGCTACTTTTCAGGTCACCACCGGAGTGTGGCCAATTAAGTTAAAAGTGCAGATGAAGGAAAAGACTCCCTGATGAAGCTCTTAAAGTGGTTATGTGACATTCCTGGTTTTGTGTGTAGATGTGGATTCGGTCTTGATAACTGATGCAGCAGACGGGACCATTTAGAAAGGTTTTGAGTCAAGTGATTTGGTAGACAGATGGTGCTTTTAACAGTATGTAGGACTTGAAGCACGGTGAGAATAAGTGATTTTAGGCCTCACAGATGTGATGGGAAATTGGGAGGAAATGGGAAGGAGAAAGTCCAAGAGGGAAATTTCACATGAATACAGTAGAAGTAAAAATTACACATATGTGTCTGATTATCATGTATACTATCAGGATGAAATGACATATTGCTGTCCCAAGGCACCGTGTTTTGGATTTGTCTTTTCTGGAACATACAGACTTTAAAAGATATTCTCTGCTAAGTTTGCATTTTGCAGATGAAGGCAGTGCATTCTCTTTGTCTCCATAAGAGTTGATCTGTGGAATTTCTGAAAGCCAGGAATTCAGCCAGGCTCCTCCAGCATGTTAGTTTTACATCTGTACCCTTCTTATGATGCTGTGTTATGTGTGAATTCTTCATTTTAACGAGAAAAGCTGGTTTATGGTTATAGGAACAGGATGCAGATGTGCGTTTTGGGTTCTGTTACTCTTTCTACCAAAGAGTTTTTGTGAGACAAGCTCCTTGTGCTCTACTTCCTGAATAAAGTTAGTTGTTCTGATACCTGGGAGGATTTTCTGAGCAGAATGTTTCATGTTGGGCATCGCTTCAGATTGCATTTCCTGTCTCTTTGAGACATGCAAAGGATTTTTTTCTCTTAAAGAACTGTTTTTATAGTACTAATTCCTTCAAAATCAGCTGTCATTGTTGTCTCATGATATCCTTTCTTATTTCTTCTTTCTTTTCCCCTCTCTGATTTTGCAGGTCACACACAAGAACTTTGCATTGTGTAACAATGCAGTTTGGTGTAATGCAAAGCAAACATACAGACTTGCCACAGAAATGTGAATAACTTTCTAATTGATAACTTATCTAATTATGTTTCCTGGACCCTTCACCCAGGAATGACAGTGGTGTTTGTCTTTTCAGGAAGCCCTGAGTAACATGGATGATTATGACAAAACCTGTTTAGAGTCAGCGCTGCTGGGGGTTTGCAATATTGTCCAGCAGGAATGGGGTGCAGCAATTCCTTGCCAGGTACCACTGATTTTGCTGTTTTTTGGATCTAGCTTATACTTGGTACTCCCTGTAAATTACAGATAGAAATGTAAATGTAATATGAAAACTTCAAATACTCTCAGGCATGCTGGTGCTACAGGAAGACAGAATTAGGATTTTGGATGTATCTGAACTATGAACAGAAGTGTGTCTTTATTAAAATACTGAGGAGCAAAAAACTGCTGCTGGGTTGTGGAGTGGATTATAAAATCTGGCCCCAGAGTGATATTTTGCAGGCTTGGCATTTGATCTGGGTGTAATCTTCCATCCCAGGAGCCTCACTCAGTTTGGAAAGGGTATAGTCACACATACAGTAACCTTTCTGCTTCAGTACCTCACGGTTTCCAGAGCTTGTAACAGTTCCAGATCTCAAGCAAGAGCATGGGACTGCTGCTGAGTGTGTTTTTGAACTGTCTTCTTTCCCAAATGAGTCATTTGACATGCATCTGCTTGCATGCTCCATTCACCCTTTGCAGCTCTGAGCCTTCTGAATTTACTTATAGGAGTGTCTGCTTTCAGCCCTCTGTTTGCTGAGACACTTAAGAGTCTGTTAGTCTTTTAGTTAGAATTTAAGGTCAGTAATTTTGCAGCTTAGTGAACTAGGAAGATGTCTCAAGCAATATTCCTTAAGGAGAAGAAGGATGGAGATTTATTGCTAGGCAGTGCTTCATAATCTAAAAAGGATAAAAGGCACCTTGGAAAAGCAGACATTCAAAGCAAAGAACTAGAAAGATGGAAGAACTGAGCATAGATTAGATCTCAACAATTTGGTCTGTCATTTGTGTCGTGGCTCATTTTACTGGAACTTCAGGTGAGGAAAGGTGGTAGGGAATGTACTGTGCAGAGTCTTGTAATAGAGAAAAACATCACTGGTGAGCAGCAGTTCAGATGAAAACTGAAAAGACTGCAAAAGAGAGACATGGAGGATGAAGAGGGAATACAGATCTGGATGTAGCAGATGCACGTTGAGTTTCAATTGGATTTGATTTTCCTTACCTCTCAGCCAAAAATAATGCCTGCTGTTGCTGTGCAGTGCTGCAAGAGCAGTTATTTGACTGCTCTGTAGGGTCTCTGCTGAGTGTAAATGGTTCCATTAATCAGTGTAACCTATTAGTGCAGGTTTCTAGGTTTCCACAAGGAGTGACTCTGGACATGCAACTGAATGGAAAAACACACATTTTAGCTTTGATAGTTTTGTTGCAGAATGCGAGCATCCTGCAGCTGAATGTTTGCAAAGAATCAGGGTAGTTAATACAACCTTTTGTGTGGCTTCTGTGGCTTGCAGTGGAAGTTGAGTTGCCCTCCAGATTCTGTAAAAGAAATGGGGTTTATCTTCTATCTAACTGCCAAATTACAACAAAGTGTATGTTTACCGTGCACGTAGTTTAAATTGCAGTGGTTAAATTTTCAATTTCTCATTTATCTCTCTGTTTCTGGAAACTTTTGCAATTCTTTCCCCATCTCTGTGGAGGAAATCCCACGTGAGCAGGGATTTGCAGTATAGAGCTGCATGCTACTAGGAAGGCTCCTGGAATGTGTTGGTGTATAGTTGCCCTCTGCAGATAGAAATGTGTCTTTGCTTGGAATTGCTAATCCATCTTCTTTCATTCAAGGTTGTTCTTGTCACTGATGGCTGCCTGGGCATTGGCAGAGGCTCCCTGCGGCATTCACTAGCTACTCACAACCAGCGGAGTGAAAACAACCGCTTCCCACTGCCCTTCCCCTTCCCATCCAAGTTGTATGTCATGTGCATGGCAAATCTCGAAGAGGTGATGTCTTTAACACGTACCTTCTTCTTTGTTGCACTGGATAATTATTGGTCTTCTCTGAACTAATGACCAGGTCAGCACAAAACATACTTTGATGTTCTTGTGCTTGGTTTTAAAGTTTAGTTGATATTCCGGTGCTTAAGTGTTGGTAATTTGGGGACATGTAATGGTAGTATCTTTTTTTAAAGTTTATTATTGCACTGTTATTACCTAGTGCATTGCCATTATTATAATGATCTTTATCAATCATGCCAGTTTCTCCCTGGGGAATATTATACAGTTTGTATTTGTCTGTATTATTACCTTTACTGCATTAATGACATTGAATGCTTTGGGGGGCTTTTCTTAATCTACAGTTAAATTCTTGAATAAATTACTTCTATTGCAAAGATGCTCAACCCTTAAACCAACGATAGCTTTATGTAGAAGTGAGAGTGAGCAGGATTCTGTAGTCACCAAGCCAGTGTTCAAACCAGCTCCCCTGACTTTTGAAAGAAAGGTGACTGCTTTCTCTTCAGGTGCCTTTAACTA